CGTCCTGGGTCCCCCCTCCCCCCTTTGGGCCTGTACCCCAAGTCCGGCCCCTAGCCCGGTGTGCCCCTTGTTCACGCCACTCCCTAGGCGGCAGGGAGATGCCCATCTCCACGTTTCCGCTTTCTCTCCAGCCTCTGGATTGCCAGACGCGACTGTGCGTTTGGCCGGGTGCGTGTGCCACAGCCCCCTTGTCCCTCGCCGGGCAGAGCTGACATCACCAGCCGCACTTTCTGCCCTGGCGGGGCTGCTTGCTAGATGGTTGCTGGCAGGGTTCTGGAACGCCTTTGACCCGGGGCCAGAATGACTTGGGGGGTGAGGGTGAGGGTGAGGGAGGGAGCCGTTGTCCTGAAGGTAGATAAGATGCACTTGATAGGCCTCTCTAGTCAGAATTTTTCGAGGAGGTGGAACTCTTCTCCCTGGTGAGCTGACAGTTTTCTCCTACGAGGTGTGGCAGTGCTTCCTGTCGTACGAGACTGACACGGCTGGGCATTACATAAATCGTCGTGTCTCCGTTTGCCTTAAAAGTAGCTTTCCAGTAACGGATAGAGGGGGAAGACCCCTTAAAAAATAAAAAGTAGAAAGTTCTTCCTCACTCAAATCAATGCATAAGGTGAGTTCCCACGGAAAAGAATGAACTCCGGTACCATCGGGTTTCTCTTGGAGTTTTATTTTGTAACTGGCTTCATTAAAATAAAAATAAATACTGTCCTCGAGATCTTGAGTTCCCCTGGCTGGAGGCACAGATTCAGGGGGTGCAGTAGTGCAAAAGAAAACTACCTTTGTGGCCATTTAGCGCATGGAAATGTTGAATGTTGACGATAAGCAGCTTTTCTGTTAGTCTTAAGATGGCTAGTGTTAATACCAGGAAATGATAATAGTTTCTCCTGTACATGAGGAAAAGGGCTATCATATCGCCTCATAAGAGTATTGTTTTCTGTGTACTTCATTTTTGCAGTTTTGTAATAGTCCTAAGATTCAGGTTTTTTCCTAGCTTCCCAATCACAGGATAATTTGACCAAAGGCATTAACCGTTGAAATGGTAGGCTTTTAGCAAATAACTGCCTAATTTAAATGATAGGAAAGCATTCATTTCATAGAAATGAAACGGGGTGGGTAACCCATTACTGTATTTTTTCCCCACTTAATTGTTTCTCATAAAATGGGTATAAAAGCCTGTTAATCCACTCCAATGCCATTATGTAACGATAGTGTGGAGATTTTGGAGGGCCTGAAGCTATGCGCAAGGTGCACTAAAAGCCTGCCTGCCCTGGACAGGATCCTGGTCCTGGCTGCCTTGTCAGTGGCATTGGGTTGGGTCTCTTGGATGGAAGCAGCGACTGCAGTGTTTATGGCGCAGTAGGTGGCGCTCTTCCTTCTCTGCCTGCGACTGTTGCTGCTGCAGCTGGTGCTGTGGGCACTTTGATCACTAGAGGCGCCATATCCCGCAGTATGACTGACTGGTTGGATTGCAGTGCATACTGCAAGCCCTGGGCCAAAGAAATGAAGCCAGCTGATGTTGTCACTTCTTTGTCACCCTTTATTGTTCAGCGAGTCTAAACAGTTTTCCTTTATTGTAGTAACTTTCACTAGATGGCAGTGCTAATGATTTTGAAACACTTGGGTTTTTTTGGTTTTTTTTGTTTTTTAAATATTAAATTGAAAAAAAACCCCACAATTTTAAAGTATAATTAGGGAAGCTAGATTATTGTCTAGATGGAATTATGACCATTTCTTTCTCCATGTAGGCTGATCAGCTGACTGAAGAACAGATTGCTGGTAAGTTGAAGACTGGGGAGGCCCTGGAAACTGGAACTATTTGTGTCTCCTTTGTGGTCCCCTCCCCTCTACTCTCTGCTTGATTTTTCCAAGGGTTCTTGAACAGAATCAGTTGAGGACAAATGTTTTAGAGATGACATGGAGTGGACCCTGCTTGCCTAGCACACTGGGGTCTGCACAGCCGTGCAGAGAACAAGATCCACTGACCCTACTCCAGAGTTCTAGGCCATAGATCTCTCAGTAGTTACTAAGAAAGCTTCTGCTTGCTATACTAAAATACATGGAAATGGGTAAATTCAGTGCTGCAGTATTTGGGAAATGAATCACATTAATTTAGTCTTTACTCTTTTTTGCTGGGGTGGGGGGTTCGGTTTTTTTGTTTTGAGGTGTGGTCTCCCCTTGTAAATCTTGCTATCCTAGAACTTGTTATATAGAGATCTTTATCTTCATGTTTTAAGGTGGTTTCTGGAGAGATGGCTCAGTGGGGAAGAGCATTTCATTGCTCTTGCATATGGTAATTTACAATGGTCTATAACTCAAGTTCCAAGGGATCCAGTACCGTCCTCTGATCTCTGTAGACACCAGGTGTGAACATGGTGTACATCTATAGATGCAGGCAAACACTCATACACATAAATCTTGTTTTTTTTAAAAAAAGGGTTTCTTTTTAGGAAACCTGGAATTCTGAAAAATATGAATGTGACAAAGAAGGTGCCAACTTGCTATGAACAAACCTTTCTAGTAACCATGTTGCTACGAAACAAGGGTTCATTGTGGCTATAAAAGTGTGACATGAAAGGACTTTCTTTGAAGGGCTTTACTGTAACTTGCAGTCTCAGATTGCACTTGACGACCAATTTAAGTATGTTCAAGCTAGCTTTTTTAAAAAAAATAGGATATTGTAGCTTTATTGAGGTGGTTACCAGGACAGTGTTTGCTTTCTGGGCTACTGTGTGTTGGCCAGACCCACAGGCCTATTGTGGTTATTATTTCACAAGATAAAGGCCAGGTGGTTTCTGATAACTTGGACAGCTTGTTTTGGCAAGCCCCAGGGAAATGTGTGTCAGAATAGTGTTGGGTGAAAACATTGATTCTAAGGAGTAAACTTCTCTTTTCAGAATTCAAGGAAGCTTTCTCCCTATTCGATAAAGATGGTGATGGCACCATCACCACAAAGGAACTTGGGACTGTCATGCGGTCACTGGGTCAGAACCCAACAGAAGCTGAATTGCAGGATATGATCAACGAAGTGGATGCCGATGGTAAGAGCTTTAGACCTGAGTGTTGTGTAATTCAAATTCAGACTTGTTACAGAGTGTTTTTAAGGTCCCGAGAGCAAAGCACATATGCAGAGTTCCTCTCTCTGGTTGCCTCACAGCCTCCTAACATTAAAATAGAAGACTGGGCTTGCTGCTCAGTTCACTCCTCTGCCGATGTCTAGACCGTTTCCTGGATCGGATCACTATTGTTTCTTTCTACTTACTGGGACCTACAGCTACAATCTTTGATCAGCTGGCTCATGAGGCTGCACCGTGTCCTGTGGGGGAAGAAGAAAGGAGTAGCCAGAGAGCTCTGCTTTTTAAAGAAGCTGTTGTTTCTAAGATGAGGCAGAGCCCCTGAGGCAGTGGGTGAAGGGGGAGGCAGCCTTGGACATTAGCTGGGAACTGAGTAGTGTCTGAAGACTGCATTTGTGGAATTCTAAGATTCTAAGGGAAGCTGTGTAAGGTTCAGGGCTCCCCATAGTAGTCCTCTGTCCACCCTCTAGACGACAATGGCAGATAGCATGCTTTTACTGCCCCCTTTGACAGTGGGCTGGTTGGGAGGCTCTCTCCCCTCGTTGAAAAGTCTCAATACATCCAGGAATGTGTGTCCCAAGAATATAGATGACAATTTCAAAGGAGCTCGGAGGGCAGAGCTGGATCTAAGCTGTTTGTAGATGTCTGCCCTGAGAGGGGCCATTAGAAAAGTGTGGCACCATAGAGTGTTGTAATAGACTTGGTTTTCTGTGCCCATTGACGTACTGCTGAAGAGTATTCTCCTCAATGCTGCTTTAGGAAAAGCAGGCCACCATTCTGTCTTGTCGAGTTGATCGACCATGTGGGAGCATGGGTTGGGCCTTTCCTGTTTTATGGTATGTAAATCCTGGGAAGCCAGGCTTGGTAGGGAGAGTAGTATATTTGACTGTCAGATTGTATGAAACACAGTAGGAGAAGTTGTTTGAAACCTTGTTTTGATACCTAAGGCTATCTTCAGATGCTTATAGATAGCACTTAGTCATTTCTTGTGTCTTACATAAAGACACTAGGGATTTTGATGTTGTGTTCACTTACATCCTTATGCCATGTGGGGATTGAACCCAGGGCACTAAGCCATCCATCTACACAAGCCTTGGAAGTTACTTGTTTTAAATGTTACAGTGAAAATGAATTGTAAATAACCTCCGATTCTTTTTTCTTTTTATTTTTTTGTAATTTTATTTCCATTTAATTCAAGCTAGTGTTAATCTGGGATTTTTATTTGGGAATATTTCTCTCTTAGCTTTAGAGGAGTTGTTTGGAATGTTGGCTGTTGAGTGGATTCCTCTGACCATTTCCTGAACAGTAATGATCCTAAACTGAAAATGGTTTCTGAGCTTTTCCCTTCGTGGAAAATGAAAATGCTGAATCTGGGGTTTGGGAGTAAGAGTGTGTGCTTGGCATGAGAGGCCCTGGGGTCAATCCCCAGGACCAAAACAAAACCAGAAAGCCAGGTTGAATAGGACCATGGCTAGATCCCTGCATAGTAGAGGTGGGAGTGCACCTGGGAGAAGAGAGACTGGCCAGGGTGTCGTAGGCAGTTTTCTTGCTCTCATTTTCTTTTTTTCCCCTAAAACAATTTGTACATCTCTAGGACAGTATTAGTTAAGCCTGAATGTTCTCCCTGAACAGGCAATTGCATGCTTTCTTTTCCTTTGAACTGTCGAGTCTACTTTCATGATTGTGAATCAAGAGGCGTGGCTTCCTTTGCACCTGTAAATGCTGTGTTGGGCATTGCCTAGTAGCTTGAGCCATGTGACATTGCTCTGTGGGGTATTTGAGACCATTTTGATTGCAGAAGGTTGACTTAAGAAAAACAGCAATTCAACATTTTAGTTATCACTTGAATCCTACTGAATGCATCTGCCCGAGCATCCCAAACAGTGTTATGAGATTATTACTGCTCAGGAGTGTCAGTGTGATGCTTACCTTGAATGAGTGTTTTCTTTTTTTCATTAAAGGGAATGGCACCATTGACTTCCCAGAGTTCTTGACCATGATGGCTAGAAAAATGAAAGATACAGATAGCGAAGAGGAAATCCGCGAGGCATTCCGAGTTTTTGACAAGGTAATCTTGCACACTTGCGTGCTTGGGGAGGTGCATAACATGGCCTCTGTGATCTCACTGCTGGCTGGTTAGAGTTAGCCTGAGTGTCTGTGCCTCTCATTTGACTCCTGTAAGTGACTGTATTGACTTGGCTGAAGTGAGGCCCAGCAGAGAAAAATGCTGAATCGTTGCTGTCTTTGTTATGTTTGGTGTCTGTCTGCTTTTGAAAAACCCTCTGTGCATTCTGTCCTGTGTTTGATGACTGGTGGGAATTGGGGATGGGAGAGAGATTGATGAGAGCAGAGTTGGCAAAGGGTTGGAAGTTCAGTTAGAGAGCTGCTTGCTCTCCCAGAACCTCTATCCACCATTACCTTGTAACAACTTCTGCCTGTTGACAGGATGGGAATGGTTACATCAGCGCAGCAGAACTGCGCCATGTCATGACAAACTTAGGAGAAAAACTAACAGATGAAGAAGTAGATGAAATGATCAGAGAAGCAGATATTGATGGAGACGGACAAGTCAACTATGAAGGTAAAGGCTAAATGTCTTGAGCCTGGTTTTCAGTAGCCTTCAGGTCTATACACATCAAGTTAACGATTGCTGTGACAGCCACCGGTTGTATTGTACACAGTAGATGTGTTCATTACAGCTTCTTTTAAAGCTAAACTTTATATTTGTCTTTTCAGAATTCGTACAGATGATGACTGCAAAATGAAGACCCACTTTCAACTACTTTTCCCTCTAGAAGAATCAAATTGAAATCTTTTACTTACCTCTTACAAAAAAAAAAAGAAAAAAGAAAAAAGTTCATTTATTCATTCTGTTTCTATCTAGCAAAACTGAATGTCAAACGTACCTTCTGTCCACACACAAAATCTGCATGTATTGGTTGGTGGTCCTGTCCCCTAAAGATCAAGCCCCCACATCAGTTTTACAGTATAAATACTCGTACTACCTTCTAAGGAAGCACCTAGTGGACTCCTTAAAGTTCCATTTGCTAATGATTAATAATACACTGTTTGGGCTGGCCAGTTTCTCATGCATGCAGCTTGACGATTGAGCACAGTCAGGCCTTTGTATTAAAACCAAAACAGAAAAAAACAAATTCAAAACCTCAGATGGGTTCTACAATTTGTTGGGATAAAATTGTCAGTAGCCAGTTTACTGCAAACAAACATTTAAAATTGGTTTACCTCGGGATGATGTGCAGAAAATGGGTGAAGGTTACACTTGGAGACACAGCCCCAGAAGTACTTCCAGTGCTCCAATCCCATGGTGACAATGACAGCCTGGTGGCATGCCTGAGTATGATGGTTTAGTGCTGTGTGCATTGCACTAGAGGGAAATGAACATCAAGGCTGTCACCAAATCACACAAATTTTTAATAAGAAATGTTTACCAAGGGAGCATCTTTGGACTCTCTGTTTTAAAAACCTTTCAAACCATGACTCGGAGCCAGCAGAGTAGGCTGTGGCTGTGGACTTGAGCACAACCATCGACATTGCTGTTCAGGAAATTATCATTTACGTCCATTCCAAGTTGTAAATGCTAGTCTTTATTTTTTTTTTTTCCAATAAAAAGACCATTAACTTAAAAGTGGTGTTAAATGCTTTGTAAAGCTGAGATCTGAAGGGGACAGGGACAAGGCCGTTGGAGGGGAGGCCAGCATACATATAAACATGCCCATCTTCCGGTGTAAACCTCATTTCCCTCCCAAGTTCCCTAGCATCATCTGGTGAAACCGGGCAGACGCCAATTGCTTTGTCATCTATGGCCACGTAAGTCTCTGTTTTCTCTCCGTGTGTGCACTCGTGCTCACACGCAAATCCTGGTCACTTGATGAGCTTTTCAGGCAGAGAAGTTAGTGAGGGAACAGCCTCTCCCCAGCGTGCGTTTAGTTCTCAGCTGTGCTGCTGATGACCCTGTGAGGCCATCTGTGCAGGAGACGTGATTAGTGCGTCTGTAATTCAATCTTCACCGTGTATGTGGAAGCAGTATCCAGTCAGAGACACTACCAGTCACCTTGATCCCGTTTTTAATTTGATACCCTTTAACCTCTCCACTGTTAAAAATTGACTTTTTTTTCTTCCTGTAAGTAGAACTAATGCTTAAGCCTCTGGCTTGAAAGAAAAAACAAACAAAAAACCCAAAAAGCAAAACTATAGCTCAGAGTGAATTTTGTGTCTAATTATAAACCAGTAACCAAAACTGAAGATGTGCTGGTACTGGTCTATTTAGAACCCCCTCCCCCCAACTTAGAAGTGTGTTGCATTTAGTACAGAGCTCATTTTGAAACAAGGGCCTCATATATTTTTCAGGGTGTTAACTGGTTGTATCTGATTAGCAGGGAGCTTTGGCTTCCGAGTGTGGGGGTGGTAGGGAACAGTGGCGGGGTTCTAGCAAGCACTAACAAGCCCTTGGCAGCCAAATAGGTGCATTCAGGGCTAATGTATAGACCCTTGGCTTCTCCAACTCTCCTACTCCCTGCCTCTCTGGCATTTTGTAGCTCCTTAGCATTTGGGTTGGTTTGTTTTTTTCTTTTTTTTTCCTGCCAGAGTGGTGGGTCAGAGCTGTGGAGAGGAAGGCATTGCTTGTGTGTTTCTGCTGGCCTTCAGACTGCGTGGTTGGCAGACAGGTTGATGAGCTGTAAGTTGTCTTTATTTCTGAATTGTTAGGTATCCCTAAGAATACCTTGGGGGTTCCTTTCTGGTAAGAGCACTGAGGGTACCCCGGTGTGAAGAAGTGAATGGCAGTAGCTATGTCTTGTAAGGGGATTGAATTGCCCAGCTGTGGACCCAGCCTCGGGCTTGTGGTCTGAGCTCTTGGTAGTTTCAAAGGGAGTTGGAGGTGACTGATGTTTTAAAAACTTACCTCCTATTACCTTTTACCAAGTCTTTGTAGAAGCTGGGTAGACTCTACTAGAGAAGCCCCATAGCCTGTCCCAAAAGGCTACCTTCGAACCAGGATTCTTGTGTGGTCAGGAATCCTGCATGGGAACCAGAAACCCTAACCCCCTGGGAACGTGAAGCCGTCAAGTTTGGAGCGGTGGGAGGCAGAGCACCCCTACCTCCTGAGCCTTTTCTTCTGACACCCTGGAGCACAAGCAGCCCAGGGTTTGGTGTTAGTCTGAGTTTGTGAGGGGAAAGAGTAGGCTGTCAAGGCAGTACCCCTGGAGTCAGATAGCACTTTGCTGTAAACGCCCTCACTTAAGTACTCTATAAATATATACATATATTTATATATATATATGTATAAAGTGACTAGTTAGCTGGCATCCTGCTTTAGCCTGAGACTTGCCCTAAGAAACTGCCGAGTCTTTGGCACACTTCAGAGCTGTGTTCTCCGTCTGTTCGGGGGAACTGTTGAGCAAGGCAACAACTTGATAGTTCAGATGAGCTTTAATGTGCTGTTGCCAGGGAAGGCTTTCTGATTTTTTTTTTTTTGACAAATTTTTGCACATTTTAATTGGTGTCTTTGAGCAACTTAAACACATTGAAGATGAGCTGTTGTACATAGTTTTATATTCTCTTTATAAGTGCATGTCCAACTTGTAACCATATTGTAATGAATGGCTGTCCAGTAGGCCTAGCGTTACTATCACACAAGAGGGATAGCATCTATCATTCAACCCTCAGCATCCTGGGAACTTCTTCTTGAACAAAGAATAAATTTGGACAAGTCAGCTATTAGTTCAATTAATCTTAGCCATTAGAATTATTTCTTGTGTGTCCTAAACACTACTTTTTTTTTGGCAGCAACCAGATTTATACTGTTGTGTCTTAACCGACCCACTCAGCTGGCAGTCGCCTACTTTTTTTTTTTTTTTTTAAATATCCCTTGAAGTTGTCCTGTAGGAGACAAATTCTTTGCTGTTTATCCCTTTGAGTAAGAAGGTAGGGATGTGTGTTCTTCCCCTAGACCTACTACAATGTCATTAAACACCTATAGCAAGGATGGTGGTGGTCCTTCTGTTCCTGAAGTCACCCTTCACTGTGGCTGTTTGAAAAAGAGATGTACTTGAACGTTCTGTAAATCTTGAGATAAACTGTTTTGGAGATTTAACCACCTCTCTGATGGGGGACCAACTCTATGGAAATTGTAAATAAGTTTTATTTATAAACCTGGCACTGTATTCAATAAACACTTCTGCAGCCTTTCATCTCTTAACTGTGAACTGTGTAGGTTTTTAGCTCTCATAGCTTCCAGTCCCTGTACAAGACAGACCTCCCTGCCCTCAAGATCCCTCTGGACCCTGCAGCAGGTGAGCATCTTGGAAAAAGACATTTTAAATGAAGTTTTTAGGTGGCAGGTGGAGGTGTAGCTCAGTTGGTAGAGCACTTGTGGAGCACTCTTGAAGCCGTGGGTTTAATTCTCAGCTCCAAGTGTCTTAGCTAGGTACATGACCTACACCTGTAATTCCAGCTCTACCAAGTATTTTAGCTAGGTATGTGACCTACACCTGTAATCCTAGCTCCACCAAATATTTAGCTATGTGACCTACACCTGCAATCCCAGCTATTTGAGCACTGGGGAGGTAGAGGCAGGAGGATCAGGAAATCAGGGTCATCCACAGCTCCTGGTGGATGTTGAGGCTCCTGTCTTCAGAGGGATCTTAGCTAGACCCCTTCCCCTAGTGACTCCCCCATTCTTTGTGGATACAGAGGGCTGAAAAGGGAATGGTCAAAGAATAAGCCCCTGCTTTGGTTAGAAGACAGCTGAGCCCTTTCCCCAGAAGGTTGAAGAACCCCATCCTGTGCATACAAGCTGGAACTACAGGAGTGTAGACACCACTAGAAGGAGGATAGAGTTCCATTCTGGGATGTTAGGGCTGGGCTCAGATTTGCCTTTGTCCCCATGTAGCCTTGGGCAGGTTCCCTACCATGTTGGTCTGAAAATAAAATGATCGGACCTGGGTCTGGCTTTCTGGGATCCTGACCAATTTGGCTTGCCATCATCACTTGGGGTCTAAATCAATCAAAATAGCAGTCTAAAGATTGGGAAGTCCCATAGGAGTTGCTTTGAGGTAACAAATGGGACTTCAACATTGGTGGGTAGAATGGAGGCTAAGTTTACTGTCAGGACCATGAAGTGCCAGTAGCCAGCTCACACTGCAGAGCCACACCCCAAAACTGACACAGTCCTGAGGCTAGCTTGGCCAGCTTCCTGTCATGTTGATACTCTCTGAACTTGGGTTAAAAAAAAAAAAAACGGCTTCACTCCTAAGAATTATTCTATGTGTCAACAACCTTTGGGATGACTGAATTGACACATTCAAATAGTATTTCAAATGTCACATCTTAACATTTTACTTCTAGTTTTACAAGAACCAAAGAAAAAACCTGGTCTCCTTTGATAGTCCTTAAAAATTTTATAACTGTGTGTATACACACATGCATGATTTTTTTTTTTGTGTGTGTGTGTGTAGATTCACTTGTGACTGCACACAAGGAGAGGTCAGAGGGCAACTTGTGGAGTTGGTTTTCTCTTTTTATGCTTATGTGGCTTCCAGTTTAGCTGTCTCACAGCCCAGCCCCCCCAACCCCCATGAGTTCTTGAGCATTTTACTAGAGTGTAGTCTTTCTGTCTTGGCTTTGTAGAAACACATAGTTTGCTTTTAAACTAATTTTCTTGCCCTTTATAAGTTTTAGTATACCAATTAAATTACAATATTTCTTTATAGTTACTCATTTTTGTAATGAATGTAGGTTTTCTTCCCCAGACAGATTAATATCAAGATTTAAGTTAGTAGATAATTTAAAGGAAATGGGGAAGATATGGGGCATTGTGGGTCACATGTTTAACATACATGAAGGGGCCCTGAAAAAAGTAAACCATGTTACAGTATGGTGGCGCATGACTGTAATTCCAACACACAGGAAGTTCAGGAGTTGCAAGCCAGATAAATAGCTAGTTTGAGGCCAGCCTGTGCTACACTGGGACCCTGTCTCAAAAACAATAGACTAGTTAGGTTGCAGGAGAAATGGCTCAACAGTTAAGAACACACACTGAGGACCTGAGTTTGGTTCCCAACACCCACGTCACTACAGCTGCAGATCTGATGTCTCTGGCTTCTGTGAGTACCCACATTTAGTTGCACATCCCCCCACTCCATATGCACATAACTAAAAATAAAATAGATCTTAGCCAGGTGTGGTGGCATACCCCTTTAATCCCAGCTTTCGGGAAGCAGAGTCAGGAGGATCTCTGTGAGTTTGAGGCCACCCTGGTCTACAAAGTGAGTTCCAGAACAGCCAGTACTGTTACACAAAGAAACCCTGTCTCCAAAAACCAAAAATATAGATCTTAAAATAAACCAAGAACTTTATAAAAGGGACTCTTGGAGAGATGGCTTGTTCAAAAAACACTTGCTTGAGTTTGGATCCAGGCACCCATGTATAAAGCTAGATACAACAGTGAGGTAGCCCTGGAGAGGCAGAGACAGCTGAATTCTTAGAGCTTGTTGATCAACCAGCTTAGTTGAATCAGTGACCTCAAGTGACCTCCAGGTTCTGTGAAAAACTCTGCTTAGAGAGTAATTGAGGAAGATATCTGATCTTCAAATGTGTGCCATGACACCCCCCTCAAACAGACACAGTTATAAAACGGTAATAGTTAAAAGTACCACCTTATGCTGGCCAGTGGTGGTGCACACCTTTAATCCCAGCACTTGAAAGACAGAGGCAGGTGGATCTCTGAGTTTGAGGCCAGCCTGGTCTACAGAGCTAATTCCAGGACAGCCAGGACTACACAAAAGAAACTGTCCTGACAAAGCAAAACAAAAGTACTACCTTACATTGTTAAGTCCAATTTCCTGCTAACGTGAATGTCTATATCTGATGGTTTTTAGAATGTTCCCAATGACAAGGAACTTACCAATAGGCTATCCTTTCTTTCTGAGTCTAAAAGGAGTTCTATTGTATAAAATTTGAAACATCAGCTGGTTGTGATAGCACGCTCTGTAATCACAGCTCCTGGGAGGTAGAAACCAAAGGGTCAGGAGTCCAAGGTCCTTGGCTTGGTATCAAGGTTGAGGCCAGACTGGGCTACCATAGCCCTTATCTCCAAACTATATGCTATCATATTGCCCACCACTGTGTAAACTGCAGTTACCACTTGGTATTTCCATCCAGAATCTTTTCTGGCCATTGGAGATCCAGAGATACAGTTTACATATTGGGGGCTGTCTTAGTTTCGCTCTTGGCTGCTGTGATAAAATACCTCAGTGAAAGCAACTTAAGGGAGAAAGGGCTTATTTTGGTTCAGTTCAAGGGTTCAGTCCATCATGGTGGGGGAGTTGAGGGGGTAGGAACTTGAAGCAGCTTGATCATTTGACATTTACAATCAGGAACAGAGCTATGAATGCATGCCCGGGCTCAGCTTCCTTCCTCCATTTACACAGTCCCACATCCCAACTCAGGGAATGATGCCACCCACAGTAGATGTGTCCTTTCTCCTTAATTAAAATAAGACTATCCCCAACAGGAACATCCAGATGTGTTCCTAGAGCTTGCCAAGTTGACAGCACCATGTCCATCATAGTCTTCATGCAGTTTAAAAAATAAGTATAATCTTTAGTATATATGAGTACATATATTCTATGATTTTTTTATTTATGTCTTAAGATATGATTCATATAGCTTACATATGAATAGTCACAACAATATCTTACCACTACCTCTTTTTACCTGGTTTGCTCTAGCTCATGCTGGTTCCTTAGATGTAATAGTGAGGGCTTCCAGAGTGTAGTATTCTGTTACCTACTCTGCCAACCTAATGAAGAGGGTTGCAGAGCTTGCACCACCAGGTTAAGCCCCGGGAACTTCTGGTGCATTTTAACTTTTTTTTTTGGGGGGGGGGTTCGACATAGGGTTTCTCTGTGGCTTTGGAGACTGTCCTGGAACTAGCTCTTGTAGACCAGGCTGGTCTTGAACTCACAGAGATCTGCCTGCCTCTGACTCTCGAGTGCTGGGATTAAAAGCGTGTGCCGTCACCAGCGCCTGGCCTGTGCATTTTCTTGGTGGGTCCATATGTAGTGTCTGCAGCATTTGGGGTACATGAAGGTTTGGTAATATCTGAGGGTAATTGTAGGGAGACACCGTAACCACGCCTCCTAAGGGCTGGCTACAGGTGTGCCTGGCCACACCTGTTTGGGCGTGGCCAAGGTGAGGTCAGGATGATGCATGATAGGTTTTCAAGGGGCTGCAAGGCACATGGGCGGCCCTTCTCTCTGGCCTGCCTGCCTTGGGGTCCCTGGCACACTCTGGCTTGCGTTTGGCTGAATGAAGATATCTTAACCTTACGGACTACGAATTGGCTCTCATTATAGGTAATAGAGGCACCTAAGCATGGAAGAGGCTGGTGGCTAGGTTTCTCTATTATCTGTGAACAGTCACTCAGATGTTCCTCCCCGGGCAGAGACCAGCCCCATTCCTGTTCCTTCTGGTTGGGAACTCCTGTGATTCTATCAGGCATTGACTAATTCTTGAGAGATGCTCCTAGCCCCAAGCCTGAAGTGATTCTCTAGCATGGCTGGATCAGTCCCAAACTTCTCTGGCACCACGGGAAGTGAAGCCATCTGCTCGTATCTCACTGCCTGTTTTCTCTGCCAAAGTCTTGAATCTTCAGCTTTAAAAAATGACCTGATACTCTTCAATGGTGGAGACCTTTTGATTCCAATTCAAGGTCAAACACCCTGTGGAAAGCTGAGAAGTAGGGCCGTGTGCCAAGAGTTGGCCAAGTCATAGTAGCTCTTTGGCTTTGAAGGGAAGGAACTTGGTCTGGGAGCAGCTGTTCAAACAGGGTAAATACTTGAACTCAGCTTTGCAAACACTTTTGGATCTTTGCAGTCAACCTACCACCTGCCACCCTGTGAGAATCCCTCATGTACTTCCTCGTCTGTTGCCTTTCGAGTGAAGATCAGTTGATTAAAGGGAAGAGAGTATGGTAGCTTGAGTGAGAATGGCCCCAGTAGGTTCCCAATGTCTGATGGAACTATTTAGGGAGGACTAGATGGTGTGGCCTTGGTGGAGGAGGTGTGTAGCGATGGTTCTAATTGGTCTTAGTAATAAAAACCTAGAGTCAGGTATCAGGGTTTATGCTGAAAGGTCAGAGAAGGAGTCAGACATAAGAAAGACCTCTTATCTCTACCGAATCCTCACA